TACTCTCACAGTGCCTCTCTCCACCCAGGTGTACAAATGGGTACCGGTCAACTTAATGCTGGGAGTAACCCTTGGATGGACTATCATTCCATCCAGGGGGAATATTCCTAATTGCGTCATGTTACAGGAACCGGAATAAGCGCCGGGCTGATGGCTAATATGCAGACTTGAACTTTAAAATATGACGAGCTTAGCCCTATATCAAAGTAACTCTCAAATGACCTGGGATTCGGCAGATTTTTCTCATTGTCAACTCATACAATTTATCACGAAGTTAACCATAAATTAGGTTTTTTACCTTGCCAGACGTTAGCGTAATACGGTAGTTTATTGGTAACATTATCTCATGACCCATACTTACTTTACCTGTTTTAGGGTCGTCCTGGTAATGTTGGATCCCAAGGATATCAAGGATCCCCGGTACGTACATGAATGGTATTACATGGCGCGATAACGTATGGATGGTATTTAATGACCGGCCCCAAGGGAAACAGTGAGTTTCCCCAAGATCACGATCACGTGCGAGTCGAAAGTTGTTGTTTCCCTAGGTGTCCTTAGTTGGTGCGTTTTTTTCTCCCTTGAGAGTTAGTGTTTTGTTTTCCTAGGGAGTTAGTGAGTTTTGACCCATGACACGTGACACGTTCTCTTCCAGCCGGAAAACGTATTTGAGTTGGGAGGTGTAACAAAGTGGCTTGGTTGGCTGACTTTCCAGTTATAAACAGGCTAAAGGAATTCAAATCAGCATTCAAAATTCGAAAGGGGTTGATTTTCAGATTTCCCAAAATGGTTTCAGACTGCAAACGCTTTTACTGAAGCAAAAACTGTGATGATAAAATGAATCTGTTTTTTTCTGGCTAAGAGACACTAAATCAATCCCCTCTGCGCCACAAGAGAGATCAATTTTGTATATGATTAACAGATTTAAATTGTTTACCAGCTCGTTTTTGTTCCTGTTTAGGGCAACCCGGGAATTCCTGGATCGAGAGGAGAACATGGTGACAAGGGAAAACCGGTATAAAGTGTTTGCTATATCGTCTGTTTATAGTTAATTCAATGAGATCAGCAAAGTTTTTATTTTCCTATTTTGCTACCATTTTAGGGGAGAACCGGGATGCCTGGAGGACGTGGCAGGCCGGGACAAAGAGGAAAGCGGGTACGAATTTAAAATACACTTGATTACTCTTGGGAAACAGTTGGGTTTGTTTTCTCTTGAATCTGGATATTTCCAACAATTGCGTAATTGTTGTCCTCCAGGGCGACGTTTAGATTTAGCCATTGCCCCGTGACCATAAATCAACCAGTAAGAACGCGCGTTAGATTAAACTTAACTCCAGCTATATAACAATGTGGTTTATTTGTTACCATTAACTGGCATGGATATGAAGTTTTCCAAACGTCAACTTTCCGTGTCCTTGTACCATTTGTAGGGAGCGACTGGTGACCCTGGCGCGCAAGGCATCATGGGAATAGTTGGTTCCAGGGTGAGTATCAAAGATACCGTAAACTGCTGCTTATAAGCCCCCCCGGCTAGACCCATCTACCTGTAGACAAAAAATACATCCGGTTTTAAGTCCCCCTCGGATGTAAGCCCCCCTTTAGTTTTCCTTGTTTTGTATTCGTTTTATTCTGATGTTTTCAGGCCTAATTACCAGTAAATGAAAAGCCTTTTTCGATCAACATGTACAGCTATAGCTCGTTAACGAAACAGTTTTTTTATTCCGGTTATAATCCCCCTCGGATATAAGCCCCTCCTTTTATAAACCCATCTAAAATTCCTGGCGAGGTTGTACCAACCCAGGGCTTAAAAACGGCAGTTAAGGGTATATCTAAGATGCCTTTTTCGATGTTGCTTTTTCAATAACAGCATGTGTAGCATTCTACATAACACCACTTAAATTAGTCTATCGGCATCACTCTATCAGCATCGATCAGGAACCTCTCTAAATGGTGTCCCGATCGTACAGTAGTGATCGGAAAATTCTGAATCTCGGTTATCGCAGCCCTAGATTAACCAATTAATATCGCAAACTTTCTTTAGGCTAAGATATCTAAGATGGTGTTAGTTTGAAGATTACAGAGGCGTTTTGGAGGAGGATGCCTGTTGGGGGAGGGGGGGGGAGGGGGAGGTTCAGTGAGTAGTGCTCCGATAACTCTAATGCTAATAAGCGGCAGTTTAGGGTATGCCAGTTTTGTGCTCATGAGGCTTTTAGTTGCTAAAGATGTCGACCACTTTACAGGGCAAACCCGGACCGCAGGGAACTATGGGACCTCCTGGAGAACGAGGTATCAAGGTTGGTAATTTTGGTTAATTTTCATTTGTATTTTATTGGAATTTATGGTGCATCGCTTACAGTGTTGATATTTGATTCAGACTCATTTTTTCCCAATGTACGGTCAAGTGTTTCATATGTTATTTTAACTTGAGCATTGATTCCGATTTTCTTTTCTGGACGTTTTGTTGACGTTTAAATTATTCTTCCAGGGCGTGCCTGGAATGGAGGGACCGCAGGGACACTCTGGAAGACAAGGTGAAAGGGTATGTTTAGTGTCAAAGAATTGAGGTTCTTTTCACAGTGAATGATGATAAAAATGTTAATTTAATATTTTAAGACAAAGATCGAAGCATAGATATGACAGTAGAGACCTCTAGATCCGTCAACGAGTACGACTTTGACCGCAATTTCTAAGAGAAAAATACTTAGAGACATATAACTGAACTAGTAAACACGTTAGCTTTAGATTTGTGCGCTATTTCTTGGTCTGGCATCACGGGCATGAGATGATTGTAAAGATATATCTCTACTCATCTTTTGATGTCTTGATTTCGTCACGCGCGCACTCTTTTGTTATTGGTAAATCTATGGTCAAAGCTACCTAGGCAGCGTCCACACTATCCCGAAGAAATTTGAAAACGCAGCTTTATTTCTACGGCTAGGCCTACCGTCCACACTTATCTGTCACGAAAACGAAAATTTGAAAAAAGCCGGCTTTTCGATTAAGTGTGGAAGGAAACTATTTTGAAAACGGAGCTTTTCGAAAACGATGTAGTCACGGTTACCATTTGATTTCCAGGTCCGACCGCTGATTGTTGCGTTTTCAAGTTCCTCCGGCGTGGTATGGACGAAAAACATTTGCTGCGTTTTCAGAGTGAAGCCTCCGTTTTCAAATTTCTCCGGCGTAGTGTGAACGGGGCCTTAAATGCGTACATCTCTGATCTTGAAACATAACGACGACGAAAGAATCGATTTTTTTGCCATTAACGTTGCCATTTTAAGCACCAGATGATATTTTATCTTTATAGGGAGACTCGGGAGATTACGGAGTTCGTGGGGTTCCTGGAGAACAAGTAAGTTGCCAGCAGCGACGACAGCGACATAAACAAACATTTATTTTCCCTTTTACGCTTAATCCAGCCCAAGTTCAAGAGAGACAGCTAGGGCAGTGTTTGTAAAACAATTAAAATGCAAAGTCAATGCTAAAAGAATCATCTCCAGCCTGCAAAGAAAGTCCAAATACAAATAAGCTATCCAAAAAATACCGCAAAAGTTTTCATTAGGATAAGTTTGGAAGACTGTTATCGTTTGAGTTCTACGTAATGAGCTTTGTTCCAAAAGGTTTTTATTTTTCATATATTTTTTTGTCCAATAGGGAGCGCGTGGAGTGACTGGAAGGACAGGTAGATCTGGCTCGCCAGGTTTACATGTAAGTCTTACAAACCTTATTTATATGAACGTGCTGTTTGATTTTGTCATCTCCTTTTTGTTATGATATAATTCGTGGGGGCCACTTTTTGATGTACCTTTTTCTTTACAGGGCGAAGAAGGAGATTCTGGCAAACCCGGTAAAGATGGACCCCCGGTAAATATCGGTCTCTAGACTTTATTAAGTTTGTTTTGAAGTTCTCGGTATGGTAGACTCTTTGCTCTTTGTGCAGATTCAAGGACTGTGTGTACTTAGGATAGCTGTGTAGTGTAGTTGCTAAAAAACATGTGGGACGCTTGTTAATCCATCAAATTTTTTTAATGTTTGCTCTTTTAAGCAACATACATACAAGGCAAACAAAGGCCCTTGTTCCTTGGTTTGCGCTTCATCGGTTCGCTTGACATCGGCCTCGAGACCTGATTTGCGGTTCGTCGTGTCGTTGTGTGTCTTATGGCTTGTTACATGTGTTAATTGCTGTTGATTTGACGAAATAAAAGTAAAAAACCGCACCAGCACCAATCATCAAGACATTAGTGTGGACTATACAGTCACGTTTTGGCATCTAAATAAATAGAAAAACACAGTCACGTTTTGGCATCTAAATAAATAGAAAAAAACAAAACAAAACAAAACAAAACAAAACAAAAACAAGTGAACAAACAAACAAACAAACAAACAAATAAGATGTAAAGACGTGCGCACAAAAGCAATCCATGATTTTAATGTGACAAAAGTATAAAAACAACAACAATTTATTTCGTACCTTTGCAATATTAAGAATTGTTAACAATTTACTCTGTTAAAATTTCGTTGTAGTCAAATGAAGCTTTTCTAAGATATGATTGTTATTGACTTGCTGTATTTAAGGGTGTCCCTGGCGGCCCAGGAACTCAAGGCCCCATGGGAATTAAAGGAGAACAGGTACGTTTGACAACAACTTTAGTGAGTTACGAAGATTAAACAACAACGGCACATTGTCCGGGCAAAGAGAAAATGATGAAGATCCTGATGACGATGAAGATCACAACGATAACGACGACGACGAGGGTGATGATGACGATGGTGTTGTTGATAATGATGATGACGAGGATGAGGACGAGGATGACGATAGCGATAGCGATGACGATAACGATACTGATGACAATGACGATTTGATGTTTTATGATGATAATGTTAATGGTTAAATGATGATGATCTTATTTTAGGGAAAAGCTGGTGAGATTGGCGAGCAAGGAGAAGCTGGGCTCGAGGGACCGAAGGTCTGTCTAGCAGCATTAAACATTTTTTATAAAATGACGATGGAATTACCTTTGTTCTGATTGGTTGTCCTGCCTGTCTTTACGAGCTTTCTTAATCTATATGAGTAGTCATTGATCCACGATTCAAGTTCACCCAAATTTCCTGCTACTCTTAGACTTACCCTCATTTTTGCATCAGGTTTGGCCGAATCACAAGTACTATGGGTATTAATTGAATGTTTAGTGCGTTCTGACTTGTTTCTTATCGTAAATATTTCGGCAAAATTGTCGCTAGCTTTACATTATATACAATTAGACACATTGTTCTGGGGCAACATAGCCCAGGACAGTTGTAAGAAAAGAGGTCACTGGAATGAGAAGGTAACATAGCGAAGACTGAACAGAATGGCGAGGTTTTACGACGAGAAAATAATGTACGTATCGTAAACAGAGTGCTTTTTTGGTTTTCTCCTGCTTCTTTTTAGGGTAGTCTTGGGCCCACTGGAACAATCGGAGCGCCTGGACTTCCTGGACAGCAGGTAAACGAAGCCTGAGCAAACGAGTGGAAATTTTAGCCCCTCACTTCCGGGATCACGTTTTTCGTTGCAATTTGGAATTGCAATTTGGCAATATACATGATATGTTTATGGTTTTGTTAAAATGCTGTGGACACTCAAGCCACAATTTCATTTCGAATCGACAATGGGTTAAGATACAGAATGTTCACGTTATATACGGTAATTTGTTGCACAAAGGCATAGAAAATAAACTAGATTTAGTTCTGTTGTTTTGCAGGGGCCAGGTGGAGAGCTTGGTGAAACTGGTGAACCGGGGGTGCCAGGCGAAGTGGTGAGCTGCTAAATATATACGGCACAATAACGTCCATTATACAAATGCTGTACTATTCCTTTCTCCTCTCTTTCATCTGCTGTGTAGAACAGATCTAACAAGGCAGGAGGATGCAGCGTGGCCGAGTGGTTAGGGTGCCGGACTTGAAATCCGCAGATCGCGGGTTCAAGTCCCGTTCTGACCACTTAACTGGAGTTGTTTCTTGTTTCAACTCCTCTGTCATGCTTGTAAATAGCCAACTGGTCTGCCTCCCGCCAGTTGGGATTTTTAAGCTTATCATGTTTATTTGAAAGATTTCTTTTTTTTTCTTTCAGTTTAAGTGGCATGCCTGAGAACCAGCTAGTTGTAGCTAAGAGCATCGACCACTTAAAACATTCAACATCTAACATCTAACACAATAAATGTTTCAAGACTTCCATCAGTCTTTCCGCTACCCGCTGACCTTTTTACATGTGTAAAAACAAACAAACCGAATTTCTTCTTCTTATTTAGGGATTATCAGGGTCTCCTGGCTCAACCGGGCAAGATGGAACTCCTGGGGCAAAGGTAACCATTCAAACAAAACAGAATGGATAGAACACGGCGTCGATTCCTTTCCTTTTATTTTTAACTTAATTCTCAGGCGTGAGCAACATTGAATCTCTCCCTGCAATGCTAATAAACGGGCGGGCAAGCCATCAACGCGATATGTTGTTTTAGAGTCGCTCGATATTGTGTTGTTTTAATCTCTTGTTTCGTTGAGCCATTAATAAAGAACATTGGAAATGGTGCAGCTCGCCATTTTAGTGTAGCACCAAAACTGCAGGACCAAGAACTCAGACTAAAAGCTGAAATAAAAGAAATGTTCATATATTAGTGAAACCTTTTTAAATTTCATTTCAGGGTTCTAAAGGAGACGACGGCCTCAATGGTATCCCGGGAAGTCGGGTAAGGAAGTCTTAAAAATAAAATTACTACCAATGGTATTTTTCGCATATGAGGTATCATAGCACTATTTTTGGTGGACTGAAAGTTTTCTTTCGTTTGATTGTTTCAGGGTTTCGTAGGAAAATTTGGTGACAAAGGTGTTGGTGGAACAGTTGTAAGTTGCACAAAGCCTGTATTTTTCTTGCTCATTTCCTTCACAAGGTTTCGTTGGACTGTTTTTTTTTAAATTAAGCATTTTAGATTCTTTTGTTTGTTTATTTCTTGCTGTTGTTTTTATCAAGGGTGCACCTGGGATATCTGGTGAACGCGGTGACCAGGGCAAACCTGGAAGAGCTGTAAGTAATGAAAAAGCAATCACATGCATTTGTCTCTTTTGTTCCAGGTTTCAAGTTTACTTTTTTCACAGCTTGCAAAACATCCTTGCCTCGCCCACTCCCCTGTACGCCCGTCGGCTCTAAGAGCGGCTACAAAGTTCCTCCACTCCTGTCTGTCACGTGCATTTCTCTCGTTGACTCCGCAGGTGCAATTTAGGCTTTGCAAAACATGATAAGGCTCAATTTCCTGACATTTTGAGGTCCTGCATCCTTTAGTAGATGAAATCCAAACTTTCAAAACAAATGAAATTCAAATCAAGTCCAGCTAAACTGCAACGTATTCTGCAGCACAACTAAGCGCAGTTGACTGTAACGATATACAAGGCAATGAATTTTACGTTTCTGCTATTCTTTTAACTTCCCGACTATCAACGCCCAATTCTTCTGTTGTGTTTAAGAAATGCTTATCAAATCTAAAACCATTGTAAGATTTCAGTTAATTTTCTTTTCTCTTTAATAGGGAGCTCCTGGCCCGGTCGGGGAACCTGGGTTACAGGGTCCTATTGGGCGCGTGGTAAGCAGTTATCTTCCATTCAGTTTAGTCACTCTGCTTGCATCTAAGAGAGTAAAAAAATTGTTGACAAGAATGGTAGTTGCGTTGTATTTTTCCATAAGTATTTTTTTGTTTTCAAACCAACGGCTGAATTTAGAGAATTGGTGTGTATTTTGGTGTCTTCTTTTAAACAACAACCTCAAACTCTGTTTTCTAGTTGCTTTCACAATTTGATTCGTACTTGTCGGTTCTAGGGCAGTATTCAAATGAGTGTTCGTAAGACCAAAACCAAACCGTAGTAAAACCAAATTAAAGTAATTACCTGATTACTTTCGACGTTCAATTGAGAACCCTTCTAGCTATGGTGTCTGCGGACTAAAAGGGGATCAACCGTAGGGGACACAATTAACGTTTCGTAGCTTTGGACTGACAGTCAGTAAACATTTGTACGGAACTCTAATATATTGGGTGAATTTATACGCTTACACTGTGCACGTGAACGTGCAGAGGAAATTCAGTGGCGGACCGAGGGGAGGGGCCCGTGGGGCCCGCTCCCCCCTACCTTATTTTGGGTTAAAAAAAGAAACGCAGAAGGAAGAAAAACCGGCAGGGCAAGCCGGATCCGCCACTGAAATTCGAGGTATTTGTAACACTCTTTCATTAAACTCATACGTGTTCTTCTCGTACGTGGTCATGAGTTTATCGCGACGTGACTATTCAGCGAGGTTCCAAGTTAGTTTTTCTAGCATACTGTTATTTTTATTTTGCATTCTCTCCTTCCCAGGGTTCGTTAGGTCTGTCTGGTTCGTCAGGAGATGCTGGCTCTAAGGGTGAAACGGTAAAGTTATCATTATGTATTATAGACTACTAACAAACCAGATAAAAATCAAAGTTTGCTTTCGGCCAGGACTCTCTTACATGTAAAAGGTGACCAACAATTCCACGTGGCAGTTCAAGATCTGCCATAAAGTGGCTACAAATTTCCATGTAAAAAGTTACCTTTTTCGTTTGGAGTGTTGGCTTGTTGTAAAGTTAGCGACAGTTTCTTTGGAGTTTCTATGACGACGCCTGGACATCCCACTTTCAAAGGTAGCAAATAGTTCTAAAATACACTTGTATAGTGATAAAAATAGTGTTGCTTTATGATTAAAATTGATCTGACAAAAAAAAATATTATGTATTTATGTCAATATTTAGAAGTGATGAATTGACCGTATAAATGATCTCCAGTAACTTGCGATAGTTCGTAAGTAAACTTTAGTGCCGAAATTTAAAAGAGTCGAAAAATAGAATCGAAAAATGAGTTTAAATTCAAAAACCTGGGTATTGTGAAATCAAACATGATTCTGTCGTAAAGTGGTCAAAGGTTTTGGTGGAATATTTGTAGTATATGATAAGCTATAAAATGAAAATTTAGTTTTCTCTGTTGAACTACAACAATATGGACCAGGCTTTCCCACTTGGGTGAGACCTGGCATGGAAGCAGCACCGTATTACACTACAGTCGACAGCTTCGCAGTTTATCTTATCCAGGATAAACCAGCCGGGCGACTCGTTTGTAAGAGGCTAGATCATAGGCTAAAAGACGTGACTTACTCTGTTGTTGTTTATTATTTAGGGTGTCAGGGGAGCCCACGGGGCCCGCGGCAAGAGAGGATCTAACGGAAAACCAGTAAGTCATCTATTCCGGCTTACTCATGCAGGAAAGTTTAGATCACAGTAGCGAAAAAATTTTCATATATACAGTGAAATTCCGTTAATACGGTCACAAACGGGCCATGAAAATTTGGCCGTATCACCGGGGTGGCCGTATTAACACTCACGACTGGTCTAAATTGAGTGACGTCTTAACAGATCATGATATCTCAATTGCACTTCTAAACGACTGTGTTTTAATAAAGATCTGAAATGCAGATATAATTTAACAAAATTGAAACTGTGATCAGTACAGACAATATTAACAAAGGAAAGATGACCATAACTGGTTTGAGTGGCCGTATAAACGGGGTAAAATTATAAAGGATTATACAGGTGGGGATTAACGGGTTGGCCACATTAACGGGGTGTCTTTATAAGAAAATGTATGGACGTTTCGCCGGGACAAAAAAAGTAGCCGTAATAATGAGGTGACCGTGTTAACGGGATGACCGTGAGGCGGGGTTCCACTGTTCCATTGTTTGTTAAACAACATAAATTGTTATTTGCAGGGAAACGACGGCCTGCCCGGGTCACGTGGAACCAAAGGAGACAGCGGAGAGAAGGTAAGAAATCAGAAGAAAAGGATCTCAATAAGAAATAGCTTTCTTGTCTTGTGAGGCGTTGAAGTGTTGAGCCAATCAGGTGGATAATTCTAATTGTGCCCGTGTTCCTTATAAGGGAATGGCTGGTGAGGTCGGTCTTCCAGGAATGCCGGGAGGCAACGGTGATGCGGTAAGTAATCAACAAAAACTTGTTATTTTGATTTTGCTTATTTGTTAGCGAGTGCTTTTTGGTTCATTTTCTATTTGTTATCTATCAGCGACGGCTTTCTTCGTTTTCCGGCCGGGGTCGCANTATAAAATGACGATGGAATTACCTTTGTTCTGATTGGTTGTCCTGCCTGTCTTTACGAGCTTTCTTAATCTATATGAGTAGTCATTGATCCACGATTCAAGTTCACCCAAATTTCCTGCTACTCTTAGACTTACCCTCATTTTTGCATCAGGTTTGGCCGAATCACAAGTACTATGGGTATTAATTGAATGTTTAGTGCGTTCTGACTTGTTTCTTATCGTAAATATTTCGGCAAAATTGTCGCTAGCTTTACATTATATACAATTAGACACATTGTTCTGGGGCAACATAGCCCAGGACAGTTGTAAGAAAAGAGGTCACTGGAATGAGAAGGTAACATAGCGAAGACTGAACAGAATGGCGAGGTTTTACGACGAGAAAATAATGTACGTATCGTAAACAGAGTGCTTTTTTGGTTTTCTCCTGCTTCTTTTTAGGGTAGTCTTGGGCCCACTGGAACAATCGGAGCGCCTGGACTTCCTGGACAGCAGGTAAACGAAGCCTGAGCAAACGAGTGGAAATTTTAGCCCCTCACTTCCGGGATCACGTTTTTCGTTGCAATTTGGAATTGCAATTTGGCAATATACATGATATGTTTATGGTTTTGTTAAAATGCTGTGGACACTCAAGCCACAATTTCATTTCGAATCGACAATGGGTTAAGATACAGAATGTTCACGTTATATACGGTAATTTGTTGCACAAAGGCATAGAAAATAAACTAGATTTAGTTCTGTTGTTTTGCAGGGGCCAGGTGGAGAGCTTGGTGAAACTGGTGAACCGGGGGTGCCAGGCGAAGTGGTGAGCTGCTAAATATATACGGCACAATAACGTCCATTATACAAATGCTGTACTATTCCTTTCTCCTCTCTTTCATCTGCTGTGTAGAACAGATCTAACAAGGCAGGAGGATGCAGCGTGGCCGAGTGGTTAGGGTGCCGGACTTGAAATCCGCAGATCGCGGGTTCAAGTCCCGTTCTGACCACTTAACTGGAGTTGTTTCTTGTTTCAACTCCTCTGTCATGCTTGTAAATAGCCAACTGGTCTGCCTCCCGCCAGTTGGGATTTTTAAGCTTATCATGTTTATTTGAAAGATTTCTTTTTTTTTCTTTCAGTTTAAGTGGCATGCCTGAGAACCAGCTAGTTGTAGCTAAGAGCATCGACCACTTAAAACATTCAACATCTAACATCTAACACAATAAATGTTTCAAGACTTCCATCAGTCTTTCCGCTACCCGCTGACCTTTTTACATGTGTAAAAACAAACAAACCGAATTTCTTCTTCTTATTTAGGGATTATCAGGGTCTCCTGGCTCAACCGGGCAAGATGGAACTCCTGGGGCAAAGGTAACCATTCAAACAAAACAGAATGGATAGAACACGGCGTCGATTCCTTTCCTTTTATTTTTAACTTAATTCTCAGGCGTGAGCAACATTGAATCTCTCCCTGCAATGCTAATAAACGGGCGGGCAAGCCATCAACGCGATATGTTGTTTTAGAGTCGCTCGATATTGTGTTGTTTTAATCTCTTGTTTCGTTGAGCCATTAATAAAGAACATTGGAAATGGTGCAGCTCGCCATTTTAGTGTAGCACCAAAACTGCAGGACCAAGAACTCAGACTAAAAGCTGAAATAAAAGAAATGTTCATATATTAGTGAAACCTTTTTAAATTTCATTTCAGGGTTCTAAAGGAGACGACGGCCTCAATGGTATCCCGGGAAGTCGGGTAAGGAAGTCTTAAAAATAAAATTACTACCAATGGTATTTTTCGCATATGAGGTATCATAGCACTATTTTTGGTGGACTGAAAGTTTTCTTTCGTTTGATTGTTTCAGGGTTTCGTAGGAAAATTTGGTGACAAAGGTGTTGGTGGAACAGTTGTAAGTTGCACAAAGCCTGTATTTTTCTTGCTCATTTCCTTCACAAGGTTTCGTTGGACTGTTTTTTTTTAAATTAAGCATTTTAGATTCTTTTGTTTGTTTATTTCTTGCTGTTGTTTTTATCAAGGGTGCACCTGGGATATCTGGTGAACGCGGTGACCAGGGCAAACCTGGAAGAGCTGTAAGTAATGAAAAAGCAATCACATGCATTTGTCTCTTTTGTTCCAGGTTTCAAGTTTACTTTTTTCACAGCTTGCAAAACATCCTTGCCTCGCCCACTCCCCTGTACGCCCGTCGGCTCTAAGAGCGGCTACAAAGTTCCTCCACTCCTGTCTGTCACGTGCATTTCTCTCGTTGACTCCGCAGGTGCAATTTAGGCTTTGCAAAACATGATAAGGCTCAATTTCCTGACATTTTGAGGTCCTGCATCCTTTAGTAGATGAAATCCAAACTTTCAAAACAAATGAAATTCAAATCAAGTCCAGCTAAACTGCAACGTATTCTGCAGCACAACTAAGCGCAGTTGACTGTAACGATATACAAGGCAATGAATTTTACGTTTCTGCTATTCTTTTAACTTCCCGACTATCAACGCCCAATTCTTCTGTTGTGTTTAAGAAATGCTTATCAAATCTAAAACCATTGTAAGATTTCAGTTAATTTTCTTTTCTCTTTAATAGGGAGCTCCTGGCCCGGTCGGGGAACCTGGGTTACAGGGTCCTATTGGGCGTGTGGTAAGCAGTTATCTTCCATTCAGTTGAGTCACTCTGCTTGCATCTAAGAGAGTAAAAAAATTGTTGACAAGAATGGTAGTTGCGTTGTATTTTTCCATAAGTATTTTTTTGTTTTCAAACCAACGGCTGAATTTAGAGAATTGGTGTGTATTTTGGTGTCTTCTTTTAAACAACAACCTCAAACTCTGTTTTCTAGTTGCTTTCACAATTTGATTCGTACTTGTCGGTTCTAGGGCAGTATTCAAATGAGTGTTCGTAAGACCAAAACCAAACCGTAGTAAAACCAAATTAAAGTAATTACCTGATTACTTTCGACGTTCAATTGAGAACCCTTCTAGCTATGGTGTCTGCGGACTAAAAGGGGATCAACCGTAGGGGACACAATTAACGTTTCGTAGCTTTGGACTGACAGTCAGTAAACATTTGTACGGAACTCTAATATATTGGGTGAATTTATACGCTTACACTGTGCACGTGAACGTGCAGAGGAAATTCAGTGGCGGACCGAGGGGAGGGGCCCGTGGGGCCCGCTCCCCCCTACCTTATTTTGGGTTAAAAAAAGAAACGCAGAAGGAAGAAAAACCGGCAGGGCAAGCCGGATCCGCCACTGAAATTCGAGGTATTTGTAACACTCTTTCATTAAACTCATACGTGTTCTTCTCGTACGTGGTCATGAGTTTATCGCGACGTGACTATTCAGCGAGGTTCCAAGTTAGTTTTTCTAGCATACTGTTATTTTTATTTTGCATTCTCTCCTTCCCAGGGTTCGTTAGGTCTGTCTGGTTCGTCAGGAGATGCTGGCTCTAAGGGTGAAACGGTAAAGTTATCATTATGTATTATAGACTACTAACAAACCAGATAAAAATCAAAGTTTGCTTTCGGCCAGGACTCTCTTACATGTAAAAGGTGACCAACAATTCCACGTGGCAGTTCAAGATCTGCCATAAAGTGGCTACAAATTTCCATGTAAAAAGTTACCTTTTTCGTTTGGAGTGTTGGCTTGTTGTAAAGTTAGCGACAGTTTCTTTGGAGTTTCTATGACGACGCCTGGACATCCCACTTTCAAAGGTAGCAAATAGTTCTAAAATACACTTGTATAGTGATAAAAATAGTGTTGCTTTATGATTAAAATTGATCTGACAAAAAAAAATATTATGTATTTATGTCAATATTTAGAAGTGATGAATTGACCGTATAAATGATCTCCAGTAACTTGCGATAGTTCGTAAGTAAACTTTAGTGCCGAAATTTAAGAGTCGACAATTAGAATCGAAAAATGAGTTTAAATTCACAAACCTGGGTATTGTGAAATCAAACATGCTTCTGTCGTAAAGTGGTCAAAGGTTTTGGTGGAATATTTGTAGTATATGATGAGCTATAAAGTGAAAATTTAGTTTTCTCTGTTGAACTACAACAATATGGACCAGGCTTTCCCACTTGGGTGAGACCTGGCATGGAAGCAGCACCGTATTACACTACAGTCGACAGCTTCGCAGTTTATCTTATCCAGGATAAACCAGCCGGGCGACTCGTTTGTAAGAGGCTAGATCATAGGCTAAAAGACGTGACTTACTCTGTTGTTGTTTATTATTTAGGGTGTCAGGGGAGCCCACGGGGCCCGCGGCAAGAGAGGATCTAACGGAAAACCAGTAAGTCATCTATTCCGGCTTACTCATGCAGGAAAGTTTAGATCACAGTAGCGAAAAAATTTTCATATATACAGTGAAATTCCGTTAATACGGTCACAAACGGGCCATGAAAATTTGGCCGTATCACCGGGGTGGCCGTATTAACACTCACGACTGGTCTAAATTGAGTGACGTCTTAACAGATCATGATATCTCAATTGCACTTCTAAACGACTGTGTTTTAATAAAGATCTGAAATGCAGATATAATTTAACAAAATTGAAACTGTGATCAGTACAGACAATATTAACAAAGGAAAGATGACCATAACTGGTTTGAGTGGCCGTATAAACGGGGTAAAATTATAAAGGATTATACAGGTGGGGATTAACGGGTTGGCCACATTAACGGGGTGTCTTTATAAGAAAATGTATGGACGTTTCGCCGGGACAAAAAAAGTAGCCGTAATAATGAGGTGACCGTGTTAACGGGATGACCGTGAGGCGGGGTTCCACTGTTCCATTGTTTGTTAAACAACATAAATTGTTATTTGCAGGGAAACGACGGCCTGCCCGGGTCACGTGGAACCAAAGGAGACAGCGGAGAGAAGGTAAGAAATCAGAAGAAAAGGATCTCAATAAGAAATAGCTTTCTTGTCTTGTGAGGCGTTGAAGTGTTGAGCCAATCAGGTGGATAATTCTAATTGTGCCCGTGTTCCTTATAAGGGAATGGCTGGTGAGGTCGGTCTTCCAGGAATGCCGGGAGGCAACGGTGATGCGGTAAGTAATCAACAAAAACTTGTTATTTTGATTTTGCTTATTTGTTAGCGAGTGCTTTTTGGTTCATTTTCTATTTGTTATCTATCAGCGACGGCTTTCTTCGTTTTCCGGCCGGGGTCGCATTTACCACTTAGCTTCTAGTTGTTCGAACTGTCCGCCATATCAATGATCACCTAATAGATAAGTTTAGGCTCATTTACACGACTAAAATTTGTTGGCATGGCTCGGATAAAAACGAACGCGAACTCAAAAAAATATCACTGACCCGCTGTTTACTGTTTAATGATTCCTCATTAGTGCGCATGCCGCTACTTCATTGAAACATGCAAACGAGAAGTATTTGAAGTTTCTCGATACTTGTGAAGAAAAGAGAATTCGAAAAACAGCCTTGTCATGGTCTTCTCTCGAAAAGAATAGAAAAAGGCGAAGATACAGAATGTCTCACACCGGTGGAGATTGTGTGGCCTGTCGCCCCTTACCAATACTCACCAAATGGATGAAGGCTCAAACTGAGTTGGGCACGGTAAATCGTGTACACCGCACACTTATCAGAGCCGGGTAAGGTTTTCTGGTACGCGTGCCAATTTCACCCGTGCTCGGACTACCACTCTAGGTAGTCCAAGCACGGGTGAAATTTTGGCTCGGGACGGATGAGGCAAATTCGTTTAGACAACAAAGTGTATCCGTGCGGAACTTTTTTTGGTTCGCGTATCATTTTTATCCGAGCCGTACCAAACATTTTCTGGGTAAAAGTGTAAATGGCCCTTTGGTTTTATTTCTTAACACTTAGCCACTAAATAAAGATTTATCTAGTTGATAGAGTATCCACCCTATGAACAGCCGAAGCGTGAATGTTTTCTTTTTCTCAGGGCCCTCAAGGTGATAGAGGAATTCAGGGCGGTATTGGATTTGAAGGACCGGAGGTTAGTGGAACAGCCATAAATTTTCAGTTTAATTTCTAAGTAATAGTTTACTCCTCATACCAGTGTTTTTGCTTGTTGGTGGGTATTGAAACTGACGGTTTGAGTGGTCGGGTCAGTCAATGGCGCAGGCCTTATCTTGGAAGTAACAACGCACGCGTGAGCAGAATACAACAATAGGAAAAGCAACCTAGAAAATCAACAACAACAAGAGCAACAACAAAATTAGCTTCAAGGAAACTGACTTTTGAGTGTATTTATTTCATATTATATTTCGTTTTGTCATTTTGTTAAGTTCTCATTTTTCAGGGAAATTCTGGGCCTGTTGGAAGCCGAGGACCGCTGGGCAATTCGGGAATTAAGGTACAGTGGAAAGAATGTTTGGCGCCCGCTTAGAACGCCATAACAAAATTCTTTTCCAGCGATTGCCTAAAACTGTATTCAAGTAGTAACATAGTTAATCAATGCTGCCGCAAACAGCAATTCTGCAATTAGAAATTCAAGAGGGAAAGGGGAAACTCGCGATTCTGTTCAGCATCTACCAGAGGTTGCAAACTACACCGTCTTTGCATTGATTAGTCAACGGACGTATTGCTCAGGGTTTGATTGAACCAGACCAATGATTTAAGCGATAGTGAGAGCACTTGTTCTGTGGTTACATAGCCTCCCTTAAACACGAGGGGGATTCGGAGAATTCGAGACAGTTATGCAAACATGTCAAGCAGTTGAGAATTCTCGCAACCCTCCCACCCCTCCCTGTTTATATGAGGCTATGTAAACGCGGAAAAAGTGCTCTATTGCATTTGTAATTTCTCAAAAATAAGCGCGAATCTAAAACGTCACAACCGTGTTTACATATTGTCTTTTAAACACAGCTATCGACCAATGAGAGCTCGCAGTATTTCAGCTCAGGTTTTTTCTAAAAGTCAATCGAAAACAGCTCAAGAATGACGAATAGCCAGGGCTGATAGTTCAACCACGAGAGCGAATATAACTTTTTGTTGATCTTTATCAGTCCTGTTATTATCTGTTACAGGGATCGTTAGGAGAACAAGGATTGGTCGGACCTGCCGGTGAAGGAGGACTTCAGGTCCNTAAACACGGAAAAAGTGCTCTATTGCATTTGTAATATTTCTCAAAAATAAGCGCGAATCTAAAACGTCACAACCGTGTTTACATTTTGTCTTTTAAACACAGCTATCGACCAATGAGAGCTCGCAGTATCTCAGCTCAGGTTTTTTCTAAAAGTCAATCGAAAACAGCTCAAGAATGACGAATAACCAGGGCTGATAGTTTAACCACGAGAGCGAATATAACTTTTTGTTGATCTTTATCAGTCCTGTTATTATCTGTTACAGGGATCATTAGGAGAACAAGGATTTGCCGGACCTGCCGGTGAAGGAGGACTTCAGGTCCGTGCTATACCACCGTGTTATATTTCCTCACACACCTAATATTTATACCAGTTTAACGTTGTATGTTGCTAAAACGAATTGTTTAGCCGACCTGACTATATCATCCAACTACAGCGAATATCGTTCAGATAACGTGCGAGATGAGTACAAATATACAGTGATATTGCATAGTTAGTTAGATGTTTTCATGTGTAGCATCGCTGTATATTTGTAGTCGTTGTTTATGGCTCGTGAAAACACGGCACAACTCGTAAATATATGCAGCGATACTGTACATTAAAACACCTAATAAAATATATATAATTCCAGGGTGTTCCAGGAAATCTTGGCATAAAAGGCCTGCGAGGTGATCGGGGACCATTGGTAGGTACAGTAACTCTAGCTTGACGTATTTCACTTGAATGTCGAGAGTAATTCGCGTTTGCGTTGGTCTTGTATCTCTCCGCTTTGTGATTGGTTTAAAAAAGATTGTTACACTTTCTCAACCAATCAGAAACTCAACCAAAACCAATCGTGACTTGCTCGGACACGTTTCCCCACGGCCCGCCCTAGCCAGACGTATTTGCTTCGAGTTTTGATCGACCCACTTAATTGTCTGTGTCCTTTGGGACTGGCCAAAAAGTGATCACTTTTGTTTTAATTGATTCTATATTACTCTAGTGAAAACCATTCTCTTATGATTTGTTTTCTTCGGTTTCGCGTTTGCTGGCGTCTGCAAAATTTCTTGCTGTGTCAAATCGTGATTTACTCATGTGACTCAGTTCCCTTGTTCTGATTGGTTTATAACAATCAGAGCAAGGGCCGTAATGGTTTAACGGCAATCATTAAATGCAGTTAAAACTTATTTACAAACCATTTTCAGTTAGGAGTGACTTTTCGAATTTCCTTTTACTCTGATGACAGACGAGAGAGTGGTCTCTTAATTTCTATTGCCTTCTTCTTCGTCTTCAAATGTTAAAACACACAGTTATATATAGATACATTTCCTCTCATTAAAAGCGATACAGGTTACTTGCAGAAATGTTCACCAAGGTGCTTTCCATTATGCCAGACCGACCGGTCAGAAACCAGCGGGACTAACCAAAGAGAATGGAACGACATTTTCCGATCAAACCGGGCCAACCGAGAGGAATGGCTCTTATTATTTTCTCTTCCTTTCTCGTATCCACCACTTAGTTGAAATCTACTGAAGAGAAGAAGGGCAATGAACCGGTTTGTCAAAATGGAACGGCAAATTTCAGTCTGACCGGTCCCAACGATAAAACTGGACCATCTCCAGACACCACCTCCAGAGGTGCTCCCGAATATTGCAGTTGGATGGAACCGAAACGGACCTTTCCATTTGACTTTCCGAAATTTTTGGCATAATGGAAAGCACCTTAGAAACGTCCCGTTCTAAAAAAAAAAACATCATTAAATAGCCGGTTATAATTTATCTTTGCACATCTTTCAGGGCGGCACTGGAGCACCAGGCGATATGGGGCCTCAAGGACTAATCGGAGATTCGGTTGGTACTTAATCTTTTACAAACAGGTTAAGACGAAATCCGATAGGAAATCGAGCAATTTCAGTTTTTAACGGACAAAACCCTTGTACCATAATAACTTTAAGTATATTACAGTCCTTTTTGAATTTTCTAAAAGTTAAAGATACAAACAGTTGCCTGAGATAACACCAAAAACAATTTCCCAAGGGAACTCAAGAAAATACATTTAAAAATTAGGGAAAGGTTTGATCGGTATGCTGGGGCAGTGATAAAATCTAAATGCTAAAGTAGTAACAACGTACATATGGTGGTCTCGCAGTGCTCCTAAACTTTAAAAACAAAGGACAGATTTACAACGGCTCTGCATTCTCATGCAGGAACAACCTTCACTTTAAAATATACTTCTATCTTTCTTATTAGGGAGAATTGGGTGGCGCTGGGAGACCGGGGCCAGATGGAAAGCCTGGAGAATCGGTGAGTGATTGACGGCGAGCTAAAATTATTGTTTAGTTGTTGGTTTTAGTTACGTGGTAGATTTCTGAGTTATTGTTTGTTCCTGATTTGCTTTGGGCTGACTTTTTCAGGGATCACGTGGTGACCGGGGATTGCCGGGAAGTAGAGGAGAAGATGGAAGACCAGTAAGAAAATAATCATACAAGTTAAGACGCTTGTTTGCTTTGGGAATGCTCACTGGTTACTTCTCTCTGTCACGCGATAGGGTTATCCTGGACCAAACGGTGTTCCTGGTAGCACGGGAGATAGTGGTCTGCAGGTTAGGCTTCAGAAACAGTTATTTACAATGCGCACAAAGTGACTTATGAGGTTCGCTATAAGCATCCTTTGTAACCTGTCTGGACACACTGAAGAAGCATCTTTCTCCTTTGTGAACAGGGTCAGCGGGGTAACGCGGGACCTCCTGGGTCAACTGGACAAAGTGGACAACTGGTGAGCACGAAATGGCGAAGTAATTACTCAGAGACATCAGTTACTAATTTGATTATCAGATTATTTTCGTACCTTAAATGATATTGATGTTGCTCTTTATCAGGGTCTTCCTGGATTGATGGGCAGTAGGGGTATCATCGGGGAACAAGGCTCCAAGGTAAGAAAAGAGGACCATGCACTCCTAAGACCTCTGCCGCGTGGAATCTAGCTTTATTCCTTGTTGTGGCAACAGTTACGTAGTACACCAGTTGAATGTCTCTTAAGTGGTGTTTTGGTAGGAGGAGAGGAGAATATAGCAAGATAGGAACCTGGAGATTTGTACTTAAAGTTTTATTGCGGTTTTGGTAGATACATTTTGCTTGCACCTGCGATGCATTGATATTCATATACCGAGAGGTCCGCCAATGATGTCGCACTTTACTCTAAACAGGGTTATATAGGAGCACCCGGAGCTAGCGGTAAAGATGGAGAAACTGGGAAAGAGGTCTGTATTTTTTGTTTTTGTCATTTTTCCCAGTAAGATACGCATTGCAGGGAATCGAATGAGTTTTTATTGGATTTGCCTGGGTCACAGATAGATAAGTTAATTTTAAACTCGCGTGGATTATTTATTTTTGACGTTTCAGGGTGTGGTTGGTTTGCCTGGACAAGCGGGTTCTCCTGGTGACAGAGGAAACGAAGTAAATATCTGAAAAATATTTGTATTAATACACGTACCCTGTTACTTGGCGTTAGGCTTTAAGGGATAACAACATTGTAACTGATTTGATTTTGACAAAGTACATTGCATTTTAGCGTGAAAAATATTTTAAGCTTTAATGGGATTCAAACCCAAGGTCTATACAATACCAGTGGGTTGCTCTACCAGTTTGTAGGCTCTAATGTCAACGCAGTCAGTCAGTCAGTCAGTCAGTCAGTCGGTCAGTCAGTCAGTCAGTCAGTCAGTCAATCAATCAATCATAAGGTTGGAATCCCCTTTTACCTTTTAATCCTTTTTCAGGCCAAAATAGCCATTGCTAAATGCTTACATACTGTTAAGATCATTTTATTCATTTCGTGTTTCAACCGCAGTTCACATATACATCTTTCACATATCCACGACATGATATAAGCTATGATTCAAGTGAATTTATCTTCATGTAAGCAGTGGTGTTAATTATCACCAGGTATACATGTCTGGATTCATGAAAGCAGTGTTGAAGAAATCGGTACCTGCTTAAGTGTTTTTCTCGCAAGAGACTGCCTCCAAAGTAGAGGATATAAAA